TTGCTTGAAGGCAAATCCAGCCTCCCAAGGAAAATCAAGGACTGACCCTTTTTAGTAATCCCTTGTGATGCTGCAGATGGAGTAGTGCTTCCAGGTTTGCACTTCCAGGGTAAAAGAGACAGGGGCATATTGGATTGAGTCCATTGGAAGAGGACAAGCTGACTTAAGTAATTGATGTGTGACAAAAAGCTCAAAGGAATTGCCTTGCTTAGCCCTAAGATGACAAGGTTAAAGTAGGAGATCTTACTGCTATCATCACCTATCTCATGAGAATACATAGAGGAGATAGAGGGAAACACTTCTGAAGCGGTAGAGATAGTAAAAGAAATAACAAAAATCTAAAGGAGTGAAATTGGAACTAGAAAGAAAGACTTTTTGTTTGTTTTGTGAAAGCAGTCAAACATCAGAAAAATCTACCAGAAAAAGTTGTGGTTTCATCACACTTTAAGATATTCAGAACTTGACTGGTTGCCCTGTGCAGCCACATCTAAACTAGTCCTGCTTTGAGCAGGGATTAGATCAGGTATAACCTCCAGGGGTTCCTTCCAACATAAATTATTCTGTGTGTCTAGAATCTTATGACTTTGATTTAAAGAAATAACAGAGATTAACAAATGATAATTTCTTGAACTGCTATTTCCTATGGCCTACTCTTGAAAAGAAAAATAAGGTTGTAGAAATAAAAGATAACTTGTCTTGTACATGAAGGCACAAAGATTTTAATGAGATTTAGCCATTGAGAAGAGAATAACATAACAGTGACTTACATACATACTTTTGTAAATAAAAGGTGCAATATATCACAGTTGAGATAGCCATAATGCACAGCGTACCACCATACAATTTCAGAAGGCTTTAAGGACTTACCCACACAGAGTAACACCACACAACTGCACAGGGCTGCAAGCATCTGTCCTTCTTACGCTTCATCCCAACTTTTTATACCCCTCACGCTCATGCATTGCACCTGTGTGCCCTCTGTTCCCCTTGGTGATTGGTCAGTGCCCCTGGGCACTCATTGCCCTCAATGCTGCTCACCTGTCCTGCACAGCTGCAGCCCATTGGGGATGAGGCTCAGCCACAGCCCCACTCCCAATTACCACAAACTGTGTGCCTACAGCAGCACTTAGATGTGAAATAAACAAAGGAAATTATAATAATGCAAAAAAGGAAACCTACAGCCAAAAGGAGATTTGTACTCTGTGTTAATAAGTAAGTCCAGCCTGGTTATGTATTATGGGTCAAACTTCCAAACCATTATTCGCCTTTTGATTTGGCTGAGAGTATTTGTCAACATTGAATCATCCCCTGGTTTAGTTTTCAGAGCCAGCCCCTTGCTTAACAATTGCTAATTGTGTTTACTATACGGCGTCCAAGGAAAAGGCATTTCCATAGACTGACACCCTTCCTCACCACTGAAGGCTGGTCCCAAGTGACTTTCTGAGGCCCAGCCTCACTGGGATTCATGAACAAGCACCAAAGAATGGGTGGTGTGTGTCTGACTTTGTCTGCTTCCCCTCCTGCTTCGAGTCCCACAATGAAAGCAGCCATTAATTGTTGGGTTTCCCTGTCTGCAAGCTTCACTTGACCTTGGGAAAGAAAAAAATAACTCTTCTTTCCTTTTCCTTTCCACTCCCTCTTCCTTTAGTATAAATACAAGCTAATAAACAGAAAGAAAATCAATTGCTCAATTTTCACTTGTCACTCTTGTGTCAGTTCCATAACTTTATCTAGGCTGCTATCTGTCACCTTTATTATTTTCTCCTCAACAGACTGAGTTCTATATGAGGGTATTTTATATTACTGCTTGGCTGTTGTTGCTGAACTAACAGCTGTTGTGTATGAATTGTTCAGGATTGCACAAAGGGAATATAGCAAGTATGAGATCAAACTCGTGTTTTTAAATCAAACCTGCAATGGGACCAATATGTATTCCAATCTCCTTCTTGGATTTTTATGTTGTTTGTTCTTTGGGTTTTGTTGGCTTGGTTTGGTTTTTTTTTTTTAGATGGATAGCTGAATTAATTAGATTATCTTTTATTCTAGACTGTTTGTGTACTGTATTTATAATTTATACAAGTGGGTACATTACAGAATACCAGCAGCATATAACAGGCTGCAACAATGAATTCCAATTTATTTATTAAATGAGATTGGGACACTTTAGCAGTAAGGTAGGACTTCAAAACAAAGCTTAACTAGTAAGCAGAGAGTTGTATTTTATCTCAAAGGGAGTAACTGGGCCAGAAAAGGCAGTCTCCCTACACTTTAGCTCATTATTACAGAATGAAGGATTCATAGAATCATAGAATAGTTTGGGTTGGAAAGACCTGAAAAAGATATCTAGCTCCAAGCCCTGTGCCATGAGCAGGGACAACTTAAATTAGTCCACATTGCTTCAAGCCCTATCCAGTTTGGTCCTGACACTTCCAGGGATGGGACATCTATTAACTTCCTTGGCATTATAGATGGTTAATGAGATGATTGGCTCTCACAATTAAAAGATAACTATAGTAGGAGTCCTAGTAAATATATGTATTGTAATTGTACAATTGTTAAAAGTAAAAGGGGAAATATTGTACCTGAATATCTATATTGTATTTGAATACCTGTATATAGGCCTTGCCCTGATAAGCCCTGGTTGTTCTTGATGGGCTGCAGCTGTGATGTCCTTAATTGGGTGGCAGCTGTAGCTAGTGAAGGTAACTGACAAAAGGGGGTGGACTTGGCCAGTCAGGGAGAGCCTGGAAGGAGCTGTGGCCAAGAAGCAGGAATATGCAGAAGAACAAGTCTGTGCTGTGAAGAACTGTCCCCAAGAAATACCACTGAGAAGGTAGGGGACTTTAGAAATATAATTGCAACAGTATGGGACTCTAGAAATATGAAATACAACAGATAACTACTGTGTGAGTATTAAGAAAAGCTTTAGTGCTGTACAGTTATGTTATTGTAGTTTAGATGGCCTCTGTTCTCTCCACAGTTCCCTTTCCCCCTGTATTGCTGCCATCACACAGCCTGGGCTGTCCAGGACAGGTACAAAGAAGCTGCACAGGTGTCCCTGGCATGGGGCAGGGGGGAATGGAAAAGCTTGGGGGTGCTCAGGGGGGCAGCATGGCAGCACCTGACCTCCAATCCAGTGACAAGAAAGCATCTGCACTGATAAATGGCAAAGAGGAGCTGACTGGCAGACCCAGCTGGGGCTGGCTGATGCAACCCCAGGGGTATTGGGTCGCAGGGATGGATGCTCAAAGACTGAGCATCCATCTTGAAGATGAACTGGCCATGTGGTGTGCACAAGAGGCAGTTCTCAGCACTGCAGCTTTTTCCTTATGTAGTCCTTTTGTTGTATTTTTGTTAAGGTTTAGTAAACCTTTTGAAATTTTCAAAGTGAGCAGTTGTCTCTGAAACTTGGGCAACCGTCCCAGTGACTCACAACCCTCACAGTAAGGATATTCTTCCTAACCTGTGCGTTTTTGTGAAAAATGCATGTATTTTATGACTGGCTTTTTGCAAATATTAAAATGAATATTATATGTGTTGTGTTAGAAAGCAGTGCTGTATTAATTTTCTTAAGTACTGTGTTAAATATAGTTTTAGGCTATAAAAATTGTTGAAATAGAAACTATGCTATGTAAGATGCTTTGTTTAAAAGGAAGGACTTGCATCGAGATAGCAGCCACAGGGCACCTAGATCTTTCAGAGAAAAAGAATTTAGGGCCTTCTTATCGGAAGAAACAAACTTCTTCCCACCTCAAAGGCGCTGTTAGGATTAGAGGGAAGAAGTTGACACTGACCAGACAGAATCCTGTGTTTGAATAGAATTTATGCATTGTGTATGAGATGCATGAATATGCAACAGGCTATTGTTTTTAAAGGTTAATCCTCTGTTAACGTGTGTCCTTTTTTGGGCTCGTGATGCCCAGAAAAAGGTACCCGGGCATCCATAACTCTTTGTTTTTATTGTCTCATATTGTCTTAATTCAATTTGTCCAAATTGTTATTACTCTAATTGTGTTACTATTTTTATAACCATTTTATTACTATTAAACTTTTAAAATTTTAAAGACAAGTGATTGGCATTTTTCACATTTTCATACTACCTCCAGTCACCTGGAGGAGTTCAAGGAAAGCCTGGATGTGGCACACATGCCATGGTCTGGCAGGCATGGTGGTTACAGGTCACACTGGATGATCCCAGAAGCCTCTTCCAACCAAACTGCTCTGTGATTCAGACTGGCTACAGGCACTGCAGAGCAGCTCCAGCTCCGAGGGTGTTTGGGATGCTGTTTGCCAGGGAGGATTAGGGAAAGCGGCTGCCTGCTGGCAGCCAAGCCTGAGTCACACAGCAGGCTGCATGTTTCGTAGGCAAAACATGTGGCTTCGTTAAACAGATGCAACCGCCGAGTGCCAACATATTAATCAACCACCACATCCTTCCTTTCATGTCTCCCCGCTGCTGCTTTGGAAGCATTATGATAATTACCCGCAGCTTAGAGCCTCGGGGTTTGCAGAACAGCTATTCACACACGTGGTTCCCGCAGCGGGACCAGCCTGTGAGGGCGGGTCCCGCGTCCCGGCCGAGCTCGGCACGGTTCGGTCCGGGCGGGCCCGGCCTAGGCCGCGTCTCCATGGCAACCGCGGGGCCCGGGCGGGGCTCAGGGCGCATGCGCAGCCCTCCCTGCTCGCTCTCCCCCTTCCCCCCGCGGTATCCGGGGCAACGCGGGGACGCCGGCGGCGCGCGCATGCCCCCTGCGCCCCGTGTGCCGCCGTCCCGCGTGGGCGTCGTGGTGGAGCGGGGGGCCGGGCACGGGAACCGGAAGCGGAAGCGCGGCCGCGCGCGAGTGAAGCCGCTCCTCGCCCCGGCGGGACCGCCCGCGCTGCCTCGTGCCCGGCCCGGCCCCGCCCCGCGCTGCCCGCGCGCCTTCCCGCGCTGCGCCGAGCCCGGCCCCGCCCCGCCCGGCAGCCGGGGAGGGGCTCCCGCCGCCCGCCCGCGCCGCCGCCCGCGCTCCCGGCTGCTGCCGCCGGCCCCTCGCCGCTCAGCGCCCGCGTCCCCCCGCCCGGCGGCCGCGATGTCCGACAAGGAGTTCATGTGGGCCCTCAAAAACGGAGACTTGGATGAGGTGAAGGACTACGTGGCCAAGGTAGGAGGCGGCGGCGGCGCGGGCGGAGGAGGGAGGGAGGAGGGGAGGGAGGGATGTGCGCGCAGCCCCCGGGATGGGCCCGGGGCGGCGGGAGCCGCGGCCTGGACGGGTACGGGCTGAGCTCCGTGGCCCTGGGCTGCGCTCCTTGTCTGTGGGCTGAGCTCCGTGCGGAGCCCAGCGCCCCCTCCCCCTCCGCGGGGCCTCTCGGCTCCTCGGCTTCCTCCTTCTCTCCTGCCCCCGCCGCCCCGTGTATGCCGCTGGAGTCATTCCGTGTCACTAGGGAAACTTAATGGATTGACAGGCAGGATCCCGGCCCCTGATCGTGTGTGGATTTGTGGCCTGCGTTTGGTTATCCTTCCCCTCGGTGCCTCAGGGCTCGTCCTTAGTAGGGTGATGCTAAGCTGCTGGGTGTGCTGAGGCTTAATCCATTAACCTTCTGGGAAGTGTGCTGGTGGCTGGGCAGGGCGAGCACTCGGGAATAGCTGACACCTGTGTGATGGCTGAACACTCCTCAGGTACACGGCAGGGTTGGAAAGCTGCATTCTGTCCTCATTCGCCTTCTCTTGTCGCTGGGAAAAGCACACAAGGGCAACATCCTGCTTCAGTGAATCCTTGCTGTTCAGGAAGATTGTCTGGGAGCTGTTACATCAGAGCAGAGGTGTACATCTAATTTACCTGTAATTATTTTGATCTCCAAACAAGTTAATGATTGTCTTTGGGAGCTTGACACATGCTGACACAACTTGCCGTGATGATTTAAGTTCTTTCTACTCCAGTTGTCAACTTTCAAACTCGTAGTGCTCCTGGCAGAAAGAAAACTGTGCAAGTACTTCCAGCTGCCTTAGTGCAAAGTCCAACAGCTTAGCCTGAATAGTCTTCTCTGACAGTTCCAGCTAAGCTTCTGGACTTTGCATCAAAGTGGCTGCGCACTCACATGCTCTGCCCATAAAGTTCTAGAGGAAATTACTGGGAACAATTATCCCACTTCAGCTGTTTGCCAAGGGTTGTGTACCTATGTCTGTGTAATAAGAGTTGGGTAATACATTGGTATGTCTAGTATCTTCTCAGATTTGGGGATTTGCAGAGTGTGTCAGCAGCATATTTGGATTTTCCTACTGCTTTTAAATGGTTTCTATGTCTAGAAAATTCACTGCACGCTAGTAATTATTGGTTCCTTGTGTATCTTTTGCTGAGGCAAAAGCTTCAAGGCTGTGGCATTGTCTTGGTTCAGTTTCTATCTACAAGTTCACTGCAGTGCTAATTAGAAAGGTTTTTCTGTATTCCCACTCTTGCTGAGTGTCACTGCAACTCATGTAGCAAATGGATTTATGTGATCACTCCTCATCTGCCCCAGTGCCCAGTCAAATACTTGGTTCCATCTGCTACTCAAAGAGGCTTGGGCTAGCCTGGATGCTGCTGTAGTGGAGAGACTGAAGTCTCTCATCTAACTGCACTAATGAGGCAGGAATCCTTAAAAGAGAGATACTCACTGGAGTTAGATGGTTAGTGCAAAAGGAGCCTGCAATCCTTGAGTACTCTTACACTGTAGAACTGCTCCTGATGTAGAAGTTGAATAAACTCTGGGTGTTTTCTGTTGGTTCGTGATCTAATCTTATTCATACTTTTCTCACACTTCCAAGAATGTGTTGTGTCTTCAGTCGTTAAACAACCTGCAAGAAGTCAAATGTTTTCAGTCCTTTTTGTTTCCTTGACAAACTAGTGGGCTAGTAAACTCCTAGGCTGGTTTCCTGTGGAAACAAAGCTTATATAAGCAAGTTTTGGCTGATCCTTATCCTTCCTAGTGGTTTGTAAATTTTTTTTCTGTCTGATTTTTTTTGTAAGTTTCACAGAGGTGCAGGTCGGTCAGTTTTGTTAAGGTAAATGAAATGGAGGGGATGCCTTCAGGGAAGGGAAGAGTACAAGAATGAGTTTAGGTTTTACTGTATGACAGGAAATGCACGTTGAGGAGGGGCAAGAGAATTCTGTAAATCATCTGAATGTAGGAGAAGCCTCAGCTGGAACTTCACATTCTCAGTTCTGAGATTAATGAAATATGTGAAGGCAAATCATGCTTTGGTAGTTGGAGTTCTCAGGAAAGTATCTGTTCTGTGCTCTATGTTCTTTCTGACTTTCTTCCTTATCAGTTACATGGCTTCTGCTCCCTGCTGCTTTCCTGCTCTGAGTATGATTTAATGTTCAGGAATTTTACTTATATAAACTTTGCAGTGGCATAAATTTCCTCTCCCTGTGATGGGGGAGGCAGTCATATATATCTTACAGTCTGCATCTTCATAAAATTCTTCCTTGTCTTTCTTCCTGAAACTTTTGGTTCCCAGCTTCTCATTTGTTTTGTTTCTTGTTCTAATCTTGTTTCCTCATTATTTGTTTGGAAACAATACAGCCTTTAACTATGATCTTGCAGTTTTGCCACCAATTACCACATGAAGGGTTTGACCTCTGATTTTGTTTCATGTTTGAATGGCAGGGCTTGAAATGCAAACTAGGTGACCCTGGGTGCTCTAAAAATAATAATATAAATGGATGTTATCAGTGGGAATGTAGGAATTGAACTCCCTTAATCAGACTGGACTTTTCTTCACTTGTGTGTAATAAGCTGTGGAGGTTCTGTCTGTGGAGTCATAAGTATCTTTTTTTTTTTTCCTTTTAATCTGAGGTTTGGCTAGTAAGTACCAAGAAGAATGTGAATGTTTCTGCCACTTCAACAGTTCCTGGACAAAGAAAGGATACCGAAACAGAAGCAAGGGTCTCCATTTGCATTACATATTTTTCTACATAGGGGTTTTGCATTCTCCTGAGGGTACTTTCTTCAGGAATAAAACTTTTCACAGAAAGAGTAGTTCTGAGGGGTGCCAATGAAACAGACAATGCCAAGTGATACTGCCCTGTTGATTAGCAAAAGAGATCTCAGTGTTGCCAGTCTGCATTTGAAAGATACTGGTGACTTCTTTCTGATTAAAATATGAAAGATTATTTTTATAGTTTGAATAGCCATGTAAGTCTTATTTCTGTTTTTGTAAGAGACATGATTAGCGTCTACATTTCTCAACTTAAAACAGTGTCAACTTTTTCTTTATGGTAAATGTAAATTTCTCGTGGTAAATGTAAATTTCTCCTGGAATAGTGTATCTAGTGTGTTATGGTAGCAAGTACAGTGTCAGCTATTTTTATGATGACTAGATTAAAAAGTAGTTTTTACTGTTTGCTTTCTTTGATGTCTCCCTTTTTAATATAGCCAGCATATGTTAGCTTCAGAGATGCCTACAGGAATCTCAGGGATTGAAGGAATTCTGCACTCTTCCCACGTACATCCCCTCAAATTTTTAGAATTCCTCAAAAAGGCAGAAACTTCCATGGGAACAAGTGAATCAAATGTGCAGTTTAATGGGTGAGGAGGACCCACGCAGCTGAAAGAAATTTACCTCCCTCAAGGTAGGGAGTGGGTTAAAAAGTACTAGTTAGAAAAAGAGCAAGTTGTATTAAGCCTACAGAATTTCTTAATATGAATAGTGTTTGCTCTTTTTTCTTTTCTTTAGCCTTCCTCCCCAGTGGAATTAGATAAACTGTGCATTTGCTTAGAAAGGACTTCTCTATCAGCCTGTGCACATAGCATTTCCAATCAGCAGTAGATTTCTGAGGTGAAGTACAATTTCTTTTATTCACTAGGCATAAAGTTTTTGGCAGGATAAACTTAGATTTGTAGGAGAGGCTTCAATAAATATTTGTTCTGAAGTAATTTCATCTCCCATAGCTTAAATGAGAATTCCCCACTTCCATGAGCTGATTTAATCCTTTGCATCGTTTCCTAAACCTACCACTGCTTACATTTAAGTTTGGCAAATCAACTAGCCTAATACCATAAGAAGATAGGACAGGAAACAAAGCTGGAAGCACCACATTTTTACTGCTCAGAGGACTGGGAGGTTGAAGCTGTGGCAGGCTGTGAAATGGATGTCTGTAGAAGGTGGCCTCATAGGCATTTCTGGTGTGGAGTCTTGTTCTTTTAAATAACAAAACAAACAAAAGCAGATTCCTGGAGCACCTCCAATAACTCAACTTGACAACAGCGACCACCTGTGTGTTCCTGACAAAGCTGTGATGCTGCAGTCTGCAGTTCTTTGGGATATAGTGAAGTTTGAATACATGTCTTGAAAAATGCATAAAACTTGACTACTGCTAAACTAACTAACTATGGAGGCTAAAATTAAAAAAAAATGTCTAGAAGTAACTTTTTGAACATGAAGCAGCAGTCAGGGGTAAAGTTAAGTGTTGTGAAAAAGAAGAGACTTAAATATATCTGCAAGAAGAGAGATTAACATGAAGTTATAAATAGCTTTTAATTCTTGGGGATAACCTCTGTTCTCTTTAATGTCCATTCCAATGACTATTACACATTCAGTTACAAACTAAATGAAAGTGTGTGCTTAAATGGTTGCTGTATATGAGAGGATTACTTGATTTACAGATAAAGCATATAATGGATACATTGAAATTCCCCTTATCTCATCATGCTGATGTGCACATTGTTATTATGGCTGCATTGATACCTGAATTGCCTCTGGTCAGGTAACAGGTTTCCTGCTCTTGAGTGACAGCCTGGAAGCCTGTCTGGATTACAGTGCAGGGCAGCTCGACCTCACTGCCTTGTCCAGGAGCATATCCCTGATCTGGGAGCTGCTGGACTGAGCTTATTCCCTCTGGGGCCTCTTGGATATCTCTGTAACACTCCCCAGTGTTAGCACTTTTACTATGAGGATTTGTTTTTATTTGCAGATTCTAGGAGTTGTGTCATTTTCCACTTGATTACTGTTGAGTCTGCGGAAGTGTGATTGCTAAAGATAATTTTGTTTTACTGTGTGGTTCTAATTAAACTTGGTGTTCACTTTACATTTTGCAAATTTTAACATGATGGCCTAAATCCTTATTTTATGGAACAAGATAATTGTTTGCTACTGTAACCTGCCATTAGCAGGTTCCATTTT